CAATCCGATGTCGTGTTGCGTGGACATCTTATCACTCAAAACGACATCAAACCCACCCCAAGCAACGTTTGAAGCTGTTTTGCAGTTCGCGAGATCAGTTGTCGCAAAGCAGCTCAAGCGATTTATGGGTACCATTAACTTCTATCACCGTTTCATTGCACATGCAGCAGTCAAATAGTTGAAATAGGATGAAACAACGACCGTCGCCTTCGAGCAGTGTCTGCAGAACCTAGCGAATGCGGTTCTTTTAGCTTATGTGGCGTTTACATCTGTGCTGATTTGCTAGTGCTAGTGTACTAGAACTGTACTAAAAAGTAGCTAGCATAATGTAAACGTCACCATATACCAGCACGAGATTTCAGAAACAACTGAAATTCGTGCTAGTTGGTTGAGCTAGTTGAGCTACCCAAGTAACACAAATTAATAGTTGAGTAAACTGTTATACAACAAAAACCCGTCATACAAAGTTTATATAAACTGATATAGAACATGTGTATTGCTTGGGTAGTGAACTAGCATAAGTGCCAAATTAGCACTAGAAGTCAACGCATTCGGAACCGCAATTGGAGCGGTGTTGCACCAGATCACCGAGCAAGGTATCTGTCATGGGTACCAAAATTAATTAAGTGGAATTAAATGGAAGATAACCTTTTTTGCTGTTTTATTTAGCATTCCGCTAACAACCCAATTTCATTACTTCATCTTCAAAAATGTCTTATGTATACTCTCTCGATTAATATTTCAATTTTTCCACCGTTTTTGGCTACCCATGAATCGATAAACAGTCGATAGCTCTTTCTGGTAATTCGGGGGAATCGGGAAATACTTTTTAAACATTATTTAACTTCCTGGATTTTCTTCCAACTTTCCCCTGGAATTTTCTATTTACGATTCCTCTCGGAAACATATTTCGACTTCCCTTGGAAGCTTCTTCAGTCTTCACTCGAATCATTCTTCCCGGAACTTCAGGGATGCTTCTGGATTTTGTCTGTCGATCCACACTAGCTGCAGGAACTTTTAAAAAAGTTCTGAAACTTCAGAAAAGTCCAGACTTTTGAGTAAGTTTCGATAATTTAAAGAATGTAACTTCTGTTAACTCGGTCCAGCGAACTCCAGTGAACTTAAGAAAACATCATAAATATTATGGATACTTCACAAGTTCAAAGAACTTCTGGAAAACTTAATGGTTTTCAGGACAGTTCCATTAGTTTCAAGAGAATTGAGAGAACTTTAGGAAACTCCGAGAACATCAGGACAATCAGATCAGATCAATAAATTTCAAGGAAATCGCTGAAATTTTAAATGAGTTCCGAGAAACTCAGGCAATTGCCGAAAACTTCAGCAATTTTCCGAGGGGCTTATGCAAATTTAAGAAACGTAAGAGAAGTTGCACGAACATTAGTACATTGCACAGTGGTCCAGAATGCAGATTTAGGTGGAATGATATTTTTTTTTTTTTTTTTCTTTATTTTAGAGATTTTTAGCCTGAGGCTAGTTCATCTCTTAGGTGGAATGATATGTTTTGAGCCTGAAATTGAAACTTTAGACTAAAAGTCTCTTCTACAAAGTTGTTCCTTATAGTTATGCCCTCATTTGTATGACACTGAATTCTAGGGTGGTTCTTATTATCATTAAAATCAAAAATCTAACTTATTTTTTTGAATAAATTAATTTAGCTGTCCCCATCTGAACATCGCAGTGCATTAGCGAGTGGGTGAACAAGATCACCGTGCCAGCAACGAGAAATCAACGATCGATCCTTCATTCTGAGCCACGTATTCTCTTAACACTTGCACGACGCCATTGTCGGGTGTCGATCCAGGGTCGTGAACGTGGAGACGCCATTTTGTTCCTTCCACGACTGCCGTCGGAAAACGCCACGGGACTGACATCAAATGTTTCCACTGTGGGATTTCACAAATTTGACAGTACCCTCTTAACTGGTCTATAAATTTATGGCACATAACAAACTTGAACAACACATACGAACTTTGCAGATGTATTGCATATTATACAGCTGTCGCTTACACCGCATGTGTTTGTTTTGCGTTGGTTGTAAGTGTGTGAGTGAAAAATAGCAGACTACAGAAAAACGCTGGCTGAGCAACCCATTGGAAAACGCAGGCAGCTTGTTCAGGAAGTGCCAATCAATACGGGCCATTGACCACTCATCCAGAGACTGGTACCCTTGGTACGCCCTCACGATCAAGACACCTATCAATCCAGCAGGATCGCGTAGGTGGAGCTAGCATTGTGTGCCTTCTCGAACAGCCATCGCAGCACGATGAGGAAAACTGCGCGGTACTAGTTCAGAGAGCCATTCACGGTACCCTCAACCCGTCATCCGATCAGCCCCTGCCCTTGAGTGCGAGGACGAGAGGACGTGCGTGACTCGATTCGGCAGGGTCCATTGCCGACTCAAGCTATTATCACAGACAGGATCTAATCGGATCGAATCCATTTGCCGAGCATCTTATCTTTTTCCCTACCTGTATGTGTGGTTCGGTGAATTAGACGTGCCGAAATCTGTGGCTGGAAGAGTTTCGTGGCGATTAAGTTGCGGGATACCGACGAAGGAGGCACACGTGAGACCGTTGAATAGCACTCGACGAGAGCGAATCAAGGCCACGGTGTGGCAAATCGGTCACGAACAGTGTAAGGTACAAACCTTATCTTTTTCAATTTCAATTAATCATGCAAATTACGTTACCACAAAACCGACCAAGTCATGACCAGACAAGAATATCCCTTGACAGTAAATTTCAAAAGACATTAATGTTAAGACCCGATCGACCCAAATTCACAAAATGCATGTTTGCAATTCCCAACAATCCATTTCAAGCGTTAAACAACATTTTCTAAAATCAATATCCTAACACCAAAGACAATCATCGTCATTTCACACTTGAGATTTCGAAAGGCTAATTTATTGCCTCAGAACGAACAAGTGACTATGACCATCCTAACTGCATGCCTATCATATTCCCACGCAGAGATGAACCAGCCGATGGCTGAAAGTCTTTTTAATAAAGAAAGATAAGATACGATATTCCCACAACCAGAACGATTGACTAAGAACGAAAACGTAATAACGCTGACATCTACTCGAAGCACGCGACCGACGATAAACATTCTCACAGAACAGGAAACTCACCCACGCGACAATACATTTGTCCCTTTCGCGCGCATGAGCTTAAGCCACCCCGAGCGCACGATAGAAAGATACATAATAACAACCAATTTGGATCGGGATCGCTTACTCTCACCGTTACATATCGCTCTTCACTCATTAGACTATTGAAGTACTAGATTAAGTAACCAAAACTTTGTAATTATAAAAAAAAAACCATTGGAAATATAGAAATAAGGTCTTGAAGTAACTAATCAACTATGAAGCTATGTTTTTCCAAAACCACCTCAGTGCAGGTGAAAAAAGTGATTTCCGATTAATCAGAGGTAAAATGTCCAAATGTCAAAAAAAAGGGTAAAACATCCAAAAGTGGGAAAATTATAATGGGTCGTGGGAGTACATAAATCCACCTTAGAATGTTTTGGTTAGAGTGGGTGCATTTGTTTCTAGTGTTTGCTTTGAGATTCGCTATCGGTAAATTGCTCTACCTGTACCGGAAAATTTGCAACAAACTTATCCAAAGTTCCCTGAGCCTTTATGAAGTATCCTGAATTTGTGAGAAGTTCGGCCAAATTCTTTTTTTTTTTTTTCCTTTGGTTTGTTTTTTCCGTCGATCTTGTTTTCCGTGCTGAGCACCAATGCTACCGACGTGCCAGGAAGGCAACTACCACACCTGGACCCTACCTATCGACCCATCAGCTCATGAACCGGGGACCAACGGCTTTACTTCCCATCCAAAGGAAGACGTGATCAGAGATGTTATGCCTCAGAACATCCCGGCGGCGCCGACTGGGATTGAACCCAGGCCTACTGGGGTGAGAGGTAATCACTGCCAAATTCTGGAAAGTTGTGTTAATTTCTACGATTTGCCCATAGCTTACACAAACTTCGATTTCCTATAAAAATTTCTGAACATGCACGTATTTCTTACAACGTATAAGTTGTTCCCTTAACATCTACAATGTTCCCTGAATTTCATCCATGGTTCATAATCATTTTTTTCCTTGCTTTATAAATTTGACCAAGATCTCAGGTCATGAAGGTACCAATTCCAAACATACAGGAAGACACCTAAATTTCGTTCAAATTTTCCTGAGCATATGGTCGAAACAAAGTTCCCAAAACTTACAGGAAGTTCAAAAAATCCCTGAAGTTCTAAGAAGGTTGCTTCCTTAAGCATCTATGGAACTTCCCGAACTCCTACAAAGTTTGCTGAGGTTCATACAGCTGGCAGACTATCTGCGAAGTTCCCTGAACTTTTATAAAACTCCTTGATTCTACGAAGTTTTGAAAAGTTCTTCGAATTTCTACGAAATTCGCTTAACTAATTTAATATACAGGTAGGTAATGCAGGGTCAAACAATATTCAAGATTTTGAGGCTTAAATTGGACACCGTATAAACATATAAATTGCTTTGCTTTTCTTCGAACTGATTTAAACAACTAAGAAAAAGGTTCAATTTTCATGATTTGCCAAGGGCGTAGCAAACCGACATTATGTCTCTAATGGTCGGTTTTGAAAATTCAAGATAATCATTTTCATTGATACCCTAGCGCACGAGTCTAGTTTCAGTTACTCAAGTATCCTGTGCACCTTCAGTTGGGCCTACGTGATAGACTTCCATCCCGGGCTGCCTGCTTTCAGGTCTACTCTAGGCCTCCCCAGAAAACAGAAAACTAATCCAATGATGTTTTGATAATCTTCCTCCTGTTATTGAACAGATTGAGCAGATACATTTAAAAACATTTCCTGTGATCATCTGCTCCCGTGCTTTAGGAATAATAATCCACCCCAACATGCCTCAGCACAAAAACCAACTCCCTAGGTCTAGAAAACACAAAAAAAAACGCCCCCGCTTTAACCACTCACCTTTTGCTAATCCGAACATTGTCGATGCAACCGAACAGGCCAGCAAAAATGTTATTTTAATAATCCCCATGTTTGTCGGTCGTCGTTGTCGGTGCCACCAGCAGCAGCTCCGTTTTTCGTTGTGTCCTTTTCTCATCGTCATCGTCCTTGCTGCTGCTGCTGTTGTTGTTGGCCTGCTGCACTTTCGCAGAACTTCGAACGCATTCAGCTCAGGTTTCACCGGATGATGCTGCCGAGGTTTCTGTCACTTCTGCAGCAGCAGCCGACGGGGACCAAAAGGACGATTATTGAAGTGTGCCTCCAGTCGCACTGGAACCCCACACGGGACTTCCACTTTGCCACCAACGGGCAGAGACAAAAAAAAAATCACGGGAAAACACTAACAAACAATGAATTTTTTCGCTCTCACTCACGTAGACCGAGCGCTGCACTTTCACAAAGTGAGTAGGATTTTGCAGCATCCGATGCTTTTCACTTCTTCCTCCACCTACGTCTCGGCAACCAAACTATGGCTAGGTTTCATAATTTCGTGCCGAAAAAAAATCTGCTCCAGCTTTTTGTCCAATGCTACACTTTTTTGCTTATTTGCAGAGTCGTTAAACAGAACCACTACCGGCAGACGAGAGGTATAACAACTTTATTTTCTCATCGCTTAGCTAGTTTTTCTCACTCGCAGTTGTTTTTGGGTGTATTTCCTCGCTGCTTTTTATTTTCGCCAGGAAGCCGAAGAGTTGCACTTCTCGCAGTGATTCACTCCGGATGACACTGGAATATGCTTTCTGAAAAAAAATGTAGAGAGAGCAAAAGAAAAACAATTATGAAAAATTAAAAAAATGCAAGAGGTGGAGTGGCTTGAACAGGATGAAAATAAGTGAAAACTTTTCAAGGGTTGGCTGTGGAATTTGATTGGTTTTTTTTTCTTCTCGTGCCTGCTTTTAATCTGCAAGAATTTTCACCTTTTCAGTGATGAGAATGCAAACCAATTTGCTCTGGTGTAATATTTTACCTCACGCTTCTCGGTCCCGCACATAATCCCAGACACACTCGCATTTACCTAAATGAGTTTCCAAAAATCGATTTACTTAATCCCATTGCCAGACCATGGCTGCCAGAACGTGACGACGCTTAACAATGAAGAAGGGGTTCATGAGGGGGAGAGACAGGAGAAAAAATACGATAACACCCAGTTCTAGTCTCAGCCCGCATACTTTTGCAGTTCAATTCGAAAAATGCACTTTCCAAAGCTCGTTGACTAAGAAGTTTTAGGTTCACAAATAACGATTTTATTTTTCTAACAAATATTGAGAAATAAAATCAAAAATCTAGAGAAATATTTTTCCATTTCTTAACACTCCAAACACGATGCCTCCAGTAAAATGTGTTACAGCAAATTGGCAATGTTTGAAAAATCATTGCTCAGCAATTTATCGAAAGATTTTAAATCTATTGATACTGAATGAAGGTCCCAAAGAAAGGGGATCTGACTGTGTGCGACAATTGGCGAGGCATCATGTTACTGTGTATTGTTCTCAAAGTTCTGTGCAAAGTTATCCTGAATCGGATACAGGAGAAAATTGACGCGACTCTCCGACGGCAGCAGGCAGCATTCCGTGCCGGAAGATCTTGTGTGGACCATATTGTCACGCTCCGCATCATCTTGGAGCAGGTCAATGAATTCCAAGAGTCCCTTTATTTGTTATTCATTGACTACGAACAAGTTTTCGGCCGTCTCAATCACGAGAATCTGTGAGCCTTGACCGTGTACCGAACCGTGGGCTGCTTTGGCAGCCTATCACCATGGAGCATCTCAACGACTTCGATTTGGCTGATGATGTTGCTCTACTAGCACAACGGCGCTCTGATATGCAGAGTAAGCTCAATGACCTAGCCGAACGCTCCTCTGCGGTGGGTCGCACCATCAACGTCAACAAGACCAAATCGTTGGATATCAACACGGGCAACCCTTCCAACTTTACGGTAGCGGGGCAAGCAGTGGAAAAGGTCGAAAGCTTCCAATATCTTGGCAGCCAAATAGCGTCGGACGGCGGGACCAAGAGTGACATAGGTGCACGAATCAAGAAGGCTAGGGCTGCCTTTGCGAGTTTACGAAACGTATGGAGATCCAACCAGATAAGTCAACGCACCAAAATCCGAATTTTTCAACTCGAACGTGAAATCTGTGTTGTTATACGCCAGCGAGACGTGGTGTGTATCAGCGGAGAACATTCAAAAGCTGCAGGTCTTCATCAACCGATGTCTGCGGTATATAATTCTTGCCTGGTGGCCTCACAACTGGATCTCGAATGCCGAGCTCCGTCGTCGATGTCATCACAAGCCGATAGCAACAGAAATTCGAGAGCGAAAGTGGAGGTGGGTCGGCCACACACTTCGACGGGGCGGAAACGAAATCTGCAAGCAAGCGCCGGAATCCGGCAGGACATCGCAGCAGAGACAGACCCAGGGGCTCATGGCGGCGGAGCCTCAATAAGGAAATTAAGCAAGTCGATTGGAATGTGACCTGGGCCCGGTCAAGGCAAAAGCGAGCAGCCGCCCATGATGGAAGTCTTTCACGTTGGCCCTTTGCACCGCTGGTGGTGCACAGGACCCTTAAGTAAGTAAGTAAGTTACTGTATGAATTTCTAAAGTCTGCAGTTGTCAATAGCGCCAATCGATTTGAAATTCGTAAAAAAATGGCTGAACTTTGATTTTTCAAACATTGCAAGTTTGCCTTTTCACAAAAACACGTTAAACAAAATATCGTTTTAAAATTTTTATTCTAAGTCATTTTGGCAAAAAGTCAATCTTAAAATTCCACAAAACTTGACCTTTCGGTTTTGTTTAGAGGCCTACTTTCTCTCATAATGAATAGAAAAATATTTCTGCGAAGTCAGTCCGCATCGTGCTCTCTTGCCGTGCGGATCTATTTGCTTTTTGCTGAAGGAAGTGCTTTCAGTGCTCAACCTGTAAAATTTCTACCTTGTTCAACTCTTATTCCTCTTCGATCCTTGTTTGGACCCTACCCGAGGTAATCCTTCTTGGATATCGATTTGGAAAATTTCTCTTCGATCCTTCACATTCTTATAGTAATCTGCTTGGAAGTCGATTTGGATAAAAATTTACTGCCGCCATGGCACCTAAGGGCAAACTCTTGATCCCCCTTGATCCATCATCCAAGAAAAATTCTAGTAAACTTTCCCGGCTTAATGCCAAGAAGGAAAAGATTCCCCCTATTGTGATAACCACTACCGATTTCCATGCTCTTCGCATGGAACTTTTGAATTTCGTGAAAGTTAAATCCTGGCGAATGTGGGCGTCTTAGTGGAATACCTGTATAATGAGAGAGAGAAGGATTAGTATTTTCCATTTAATTCCACTACTTTATTTGCTTATCCTTGACAATGTGCAGACTTCTTCAGTGTCTTGTACTGTTACTCGAGTATTAGTACAAGACACTGAAGAAGTCTGCACATTGTAGACGAAATACGCGTATCTGTCAAGGATAAGCAAATAAAGTAGTGGAATTAAATGGAAAATACTAATCCTTCTCTCTCTCGTGAAAGTTAAGTTTTCACTACAAATTGGACGTCGGGGTGAATGCCGTGTATTGGCTGAAACCTTGGACGGATTTAAATGTCTTCTCAAGTATCTTACTAAGAAGCATCACAAATTGTTTACTTACGACACCAAAACTGAACGTCTGTTCAAGGTTGTCATGAAAGGACTGCCCAGTGGATCAGATCAAAGATGAACTGGCAAAATTACTTGGAGTTGTGCCACTCCAAGTAATCACAATGTAAAATGAAATCCCATCCTGATGTTTCGTGCAACGGGATTTCTAATGATTTTTATTTAGTTCACTTCAAGTCTAGTGAACTAAACAACCTTAAGGCCTTGGAAAATGCTAGCCTTATGCTCCATGTCCGAGTGAAGTGGGAACACTTCAGGAAGACTGGAGGAAATTTCCAAAACCTCACTCAGTGCCGTAAGTGCCAGGGATGGGGTCACGGAACTAAAAATTGCTACATGCCAGCTAAATGCATGAATTGTGGTGATTCCTCTCACGCAAAGGACGTCCTGTGAAGGAAGATCCTAAAAAATTCAAATGTTCAAATTGTGGTGAAAACCACAAATCCAATTGTTGGGCATGTAAGGTGCAAAGCTATCCTACAATCTCGTTCTAAGCGACAGGTAGGAAATTACGTTCCCGACCAGGTACACATTCCTCTGCTGTTCACATCGATCACCTACATTCGTACCCGTAGGTACAAATATCTCCCCTGCTTCAAATTCTTCATCTATACCTACTCATCTCACTGCTAACAATGTTCAGCGAGTAAATGGAGCTGCTTATGCTGCTATTGCAGCGGGTAGAAATCCAAATACTAGCCAACGTAATTGTAACGGAAATTAGAAATGGAATTTTTACAGAAATCATTAATTGAAATGATTACTGATATGCTTAAATCTAACTCCATGTTTGATGCTATTTAAACTGGGGTAAAATTTGCGAACAAAATGGTCATGGCTTCGAAATTCAGTAATGGATTTTAAATCATTAAATATTTTAAATTGGAATGCTCGAGCTTTTTTTACTTTTTGAGAGTTCATAACGTGCATATTGCTGTTATAACTGAAACGTTCCTTAAACCTGACCATAAGGTTAAAAGGGACGCAAATTATTCCATTTAAAGAAATGATCGTCTTGATGGACCCTGTGGTGGCGTTGCCATCATTGTTCATAGACGAATCAAACATAAAATTCTTTCTTCATTTGAAACCAACATTTTTGAAGCTTTGGGAGTTTCTGTTGAAACAAAATTTGCTTTTATAGCTGCCTGTTTACCATCCCAATGCGTTGGACAGCAAAAGATTTTTCTCAAGGGTGACCATCAGAAAAGTACCGGTCATAGGTCTAATTTTTCATTATTGGTGATTTTAATGCAAAACACCGTTCATGGAATAATGCTCAAAGCATTTTCAATGGTAATATTCTGATTGATGATTATTCTGCAGGTTATTACACTATTCAATATCCAAACAGCCCAACATGCTTTTCTTAAGCAAGAAATCCCTCAACTATTGATTTGGTCTTAACTGATTCATGTCGACTTTGCAGCCAATTGGTTACCCATGCTGACTTCGGTTCTGATCACCTTCCAGTAACTTTTGAATTATCCCAAGAAATAATTTCTAATCCCAACAGCTCTACTTTCAATTAACATAGTACTGATTGCGAGCATTATCAAACATTTATGGAATATAACTTCGATCCAAACATTCCTTTGCAAACCAAAGATGAAATTAATCTTGCTCTTGAATCTCTGACTACTTCTCTAGTTGAAGCAAGAGCTGCCTCAGTACCAAAATGCGAGGTTAAATTCGATTCAATTATAATAGACGACGATCTTCAGCTCTTGATACGCCTTAAAAATGTCCGTAGGAGACAATATCAAAGAACACGCGATCCTGCCATGAAAGTTATCTGGCGGGATTTGCTCAAACAAATTAAAAAGCGATTCTCTGCCCTGAGGAACAAAACTTTTGAAAATAATGTTTCAAATTAGACCCGAGTTCCAAACCCCTTTGGAAACTCACAAAAATTTTGAAAAAAAAATCAAAAGCCTTTTCCAGCGCTTAAAGAAGTTGGTAAAATTTTGATCACAAATTTGGAAAAAGCTCAGAAATTTGCTAAGCAATTCGGGAGTTCCCATAATTCCAGTTTGGGGCTTACTAGTCCTATTGCGAATCAGGTTGCTCGGGATTTTCTGAATATTTTCTC